CATTTATTATCACTTAATATATAATAATTTCATTTTTTATCATAATTATGACTTTCCAAAGCATTATTATTATTATATATTTTTTTGTTTTGATATGGTGGAAAATAGGCTTCACAGTAAAGATGATCAATATGTAAAAACGGTGGAAATGACCATAAACATTTAAATATGCCATTTTCAATATAACCATTGCCGATAAATCGAAAAATCTGTAAAATCAGTCGATAACAAGTATGATACATCATGCATCCCTAACCTGACAAACTTTGGCAAATATTCATAATACCCGATATCCCAACACTCCCCGATGTTGTGCTGCTGTCAGACAATCTGATTGGAGCTTGTGAATTTCACAAGTGCTTTTCAGTTTTGTATAAAATATGAATCATCAGACGGTCATCAAACTGACTGTGGGCAGTCTGTAGGCTGTCCGTCTGAAGCTGAGACTACACTGAACAGAACAATCGCAGTGTGGATCAGTTTCGAAGTGCGATACAAAGCCTTGATTACTACAGCAGACACACACTCGTGCCAGTATGGACGTCTGCTCCTCTGCACCAAATGACAGTGGTGGGACGTCTCGTTAGACTGGGCCTACATGCTGTCATTGACTGTTTAGGGTTAATTAGTCAGGGTGGCGACTCAGACGGGCCGATCTGTCACCACACGGGAGTGAAACCGACGGATGGCCCGTGATCATCTGCTGCCTGGAAGGGAACACTGTGTTACCTGCCTCTCTTTTCTCTCCGTCTCTTTCACAATACCATCTCGGCAGCTTTATGGCAGACTTTATTACATGTGGATCAATGGGGTTGTAGCAGTAATTTCTGAACACTGTGCTATTCCAGAGTAAATGACAGAGAAGGCTGGACTGAATATGAGTTTTTCTAACCTACTGGATAAGCCTGCAGTAATTTGCATGTATGTTGTTGAATTCACAGGATCGTTATCCTTTGCAAATCAGTGTGGGAAAAGTCACAGATTAAGGGGTATTGAATTTTCAGGAAATTTTCAGTGATGAAACTGATCAAACCCAGTCTTACAGAGCAAACTTAGTCGTGGTAAAGTGATGTGGGTTCATGACTATATAAATTAATGTTTAAATAATTCCAATGTACTTTTAGCCACAGAAAAAAAAATTCGGTCTGAAATTCCTCAGATTTTAAATGTATTATCTAACATTTGATATATTGTATTCTATTCTATTCTAGTTATATCTAGTAATGGGTTTACACACTCAAGTGACTGTTTCTCAATTAATTGATTCAATAGAAGCATTTTACACGTTATGTCTTAAGAAGTAAAAATGTCCATACTGTTTAGGGTTAATTAGTCAGGGTGGCGACTCAGACGGGCCGATCTGTCACCACACGGGAGTGAAACCGACGGATGGCCCGTGATCATCTGCTGCCTGGAAGGGAACACTGTGTTACCTGCCTCTCTTTTCTCTCCGTCTCTTTCACAATACCATCTCGGCAGCTTTATGGCAGACTTTATTACATGTGGATCAATGGGGTTGTAGCAGTAATTTCTGAACACTGTGCTATTCCAGAGTAAATGACAGAGAAGGCTGGACTGAATATGAGTTTTTCTAACCTACTGGATAAGCCTGCAGTAATTTGCATGTATGTTGTTGAATTCACAGGATCGTTATCCTTTGCAAATCAGTGTGGGAAAAGTCACAGATTAAGGGGTATTGAATTTTCAGGAAATTTTCAGTGATGAAACTGATCAAACCCAGTCTTACAGAGCAAACTTAGTCGTGGTAAAGTGATGTGGGTTCATGACTATATAAATTAATGTTTAAATAATTCCAATGTACTTTTAGCCACAGAAAAAAAAATTCGGTCTGAAATTCCTCAGATTTTAAATGTATTATCTAACATTTGATATATTGTATTCTATTCTATTCTAGTTATATCTAGTAATGGGTTTACACACTGAAGTGACTGTTTCTCAATTAATTGATTCAATAGAAGCATTTTACACGTTATATCTTAAGAAGTAAAAATGTCCATAAAAATGAATTGTAGTGGGAAAATGTTGCCCCTTGAAAAGAGAGTTCACTTAAAATGAAAATTCTATGGAATAAGAAATGGAGATATTAGGCAAGACTCCTTTTGTGCTCCACAAACAGGAAAAAAAGTCAAACTTGTTTGAAATAATTTGTGGGTGAGCAGGCCTAAATGATGGAAAGATTTTCCATTTTCACCTTTGAATTATGTAGAATTGCTCTTTAGAATTCCCGGGAAACATCAAAAGAAATCTTTTGTATCTGCCTCATGTCATTACAGTAAATAAATGTTAAAACTTGGTAAAATAACCCCCTGGAATCATGTACTTTCAGCCACAGGAACAAAAATTTAGCCTAAAATTCCTCAGATTTTAAACATGTTATCTAACAATTGATATATCGTAGACTATTCTATTTTAGGCTTATCTAGTGGGTCATACACTCTAGTGACCGTTTCAATTAATTGATTCAATAGAAGCATTTTACATGAATTGGCAGAAAAATACCTTAAGATCCTTAAATACCCATAAAAATTATTTAAATAAAGAGGAAAAAATGTTGCCTCTTAAAGGGACAGTTCACTTAAAATGACAATTCTATGGAAAAGAAAAAGAAAATAGGCATAACAGCCTCAACCACTAACATTTCCTTGTGCTCCACATAGAGAAAAAAAAAAAGTCAAACATGTTTGGAATAATTGTGGGTGAGTAAATTATGAAAGAAATTCATATTCACATTTGAATTATGTAGAATTCATCTTTAGAATTCTCTAGAATGATCCTAAAAATTAAAGAAAAAAAAAGAATTTTGTATCTGCCTGATCTCATAACTTCAAGCATGTGAAC